GTTGGTCTCACGTTGCTGTGTTTCTGTTTGTGTAGCGGGGCGTACTGACTACTGATAGTAACCACGGTACAATCTAGTGACCCGTTATTTAGTGAGCCCGATTTATGATTATTAATTATCCAACCAAACTGTGAGACACTGTCCATGAATTATGCTATCTTATTATCTTATTTATATGATAATGTATAATGTTTACAGGCATGTTATTAGTTAAAGTCTGTTTAAATTGGATAGTAGCGGCACTGTATAACTAATCTAAAATATTTGCAGCTGGGTAATCGTGCTAATGTTATTACCTTGTTATTATCTAATATTATTATATTATCCCATGTGATGGTTCTCCTCACTCTCTGTACATTAATTAGCTCTGTAACACGATAGTGACAATATTAAACACGTCCAATCTGTGTCAGCCGCAGTTTTAAGTGAGACTATGATGTGCTGTAAAAAAAGTTCTAATTTTATTTTGTCTTTGTTTTTTTGTAAAATGTTAAACCCCTAGTCTGGTTTACCCGTTAAATTTATCAGACCTAAGAAGTTTAACTTCAAGTTATAAGTATAAACTATATTAAATTGAATCTGTGTTAAGCAACGATTGGTTGATGTAATGAAATGGTTGGAGGAGAGCCATGTGATGAACTCAAACAAGTTATTTGGGTTATCGAATAAAATAACTAATATAACATCACAATATAGTTCTAGTTAAACAAAACAGAATTCAAATATTATCAAGTGTCGGTCTATCTCCTTCCATCTTCTCCTATACCCCTGTACTCACGGACAACTCACGGAGTTCGCACACTGGCTCTCATTGGTCAAAGTTATAATTTCATTTTGTCTTTGTTTTATCTGTTGATCGAGGATTTCGTCTTTAGAGTTCACAAAGATGTATTTATAACAGTGTGTGATAGTGTGCTGTGTACTGTGTGTACTGTGTAATATGTACTGTGTACTGTGTACAGTGTGTAGTACACACTGTGTACTGTGTAACTTGCTTCATGTAAGTGTGTCTTTATCTGCATATTTAAGGGTTTGCTGAGAAGTCAGTTAAAAAGAAGATCAAATGACAACTTTAAGTCAATGACTATAACAGTAAACCTAACTCGATACCGAGTTAGAGTAGAAACCATACTTACAGCTACATTTAACTTTATATGGTACTGTTCATAATCATCCGTTCTTTCAGCCGACTTTTCAAACAGCTTCTCAATATTTACAGTCTTTGATCGTGTTTATTTTCTATCTTTCTTCTCTCTTGACTCTGAGAATCCTTGTACTCAATAATAAACTGTCATGTTACTATGTATAAGTAGACAGGATGCTGAGTTGTGTAGATATTGATAACTTACTGTTGTGAGAGAGAATTAGTGGATCTAAGAAAATTGCACCTGTGTTCAACTATTTTTAGCTTCAGGGCCTGATATATGAGATCATATTAAGAGCCAGTGAACTGTTGTATCAGTTCTATAGGTTCTACCGGGATGTTGTAGATCTCATAATCTTGCGTCGGCCATTATATTTATACTTATAGCTAGGTATCGTCATCTCGCACAATTCTTAGACTATTTAAACTATTTAAACTATTTAAACTATGTATTTAAACTATTTAAACTATGTATTTAAACTATTTAAACTATTTAAACTATTGAAACTATTGAAACTATTTAAACTATCTAAACTATCTAAACTATTTAATTTTCATCTTATAAATCATATATATTTCACTCTGCATCATAATATGTAGGAGACTAAGATATGCCTGGGTTTGAGGTAGCATGTTCTTGAGAGTATTGTGTTTTTACTTTTTTAGTCCGACTAAGGGTGGGAGTTATAAACGATATGCTAATTAGATCTCTCCCTGGTGTACACTACAAATAGGCTAATTAAGCTAGAAAGGGTTAATCACGATATGCACACAGATTCTTCTCCAGGAAAACCTCGCCTGGTTTATAATTCTATTGTTTACTGTTGGTGGGTCATTGCCGTGAAGTGTAAGATAGTAAGATTATCCTGATGAGTGGTGCACAAGATTAGGGTAATCTCAATCATACTCAGTCACTTTGTGTGATCGTTGCTTCAAATGAGCAGCACTCTTCAATGCTAAGAGGAGAAGTACTTACATTGCAGGTCAGACGTAACGTACGTATTTAATAACGACTTTCTGTACTTTTCACTAATAGTAGAGAATAGGTCTTTGCCGCCAGATAATCGCGCAGTCGGCCGCGCGCCGTTTCATTTCTAATGTCATCATATCGACTGACATGATACCTTTTGACTGTCTAAACAGTCATCAAGTGATAAGTACGGTGTAACGAGGCTGCTTAGTTTGGATACGTAGCAACTCTTTCTTTGTTTCAAGATCGTTCAGTATTTTTAAATATTTGTTTCAAATAAGACTGGATCGACGAGTTCAACTCGGCGCACGTCTTGGTAGGTTATAAACCTACAAGCACCTGAAGCACTCCGCTCTAACGTACTTTTCACCTTAGCTTATACTTATAGCTTAAAAGTCTGAGTTTTTTGTCTCTAACAATATGTTATTTATCATTTCTTCAATTATTTAATTCAGTATGTTTCTTTATTCTACATTTTTCTTTAGGTAACCTATTATCTCTTATCAAGACTAATGGTAAAGCATTTTTGAACCTTTTCCTCGTCTCCAATGGCAATCAGGTCCAACAACGCTACAATCTATGGTATTCAAGAGGATTTTGAGAGATATTTGTGGCTTTCATATCTAATCATAGTTCTAATATCCTCGCTGATAGGAGATAGTATCGTTCTGATCGCTTCAACTAAATACAACGCCTTCAAACTGAACAAATTCATCATAGCAGTGATCCAGCACATGGCAGTATGTGACCTGATTCTAGCTATCGACTACGTGATCCCAGTTATAGTATCCCTAATAACAGACCGGTGGGTATTCGGGGACTATCTGGCGTACTTACAGGAGTTTGTGGGATATTGGGCATTCCCCGTCAGTAACGTACTGGTTTGTGCCCTGTCAGTCAGTAAGTTCCTGCTGGTCCGGTACCCTCTGAGAACTAGGTGCTGGAGCAAGAAGAAGGCGCATGTTGCTTGTGGTGTGATATGGCTGTTTTGTACTCCCTTACCAGTGGGGTTAATCATTTGCTTTCAAGATTCTGTGATATTCGACTACAAGACCTACGACACGGAACTATCAAGTGTGTGGTGGTACTCGGGGTTACTAGAGGGTCTTATCCACTGCATCCCCATCAACCTGATCGTCATCATCTCCACCATCCTCACTGTCCAGTATCTCTCCAGAGCCCGGGTTGTAGCGTGCAGGAGTGGGGGGTCTCTCCGCTGGCAGGGGATCTTCACAGTGCTCCTCACTGGGACTCTCTACTGTATCTCTTATCTACCCTTTATCGTATATAACTTAATGGAGCCGTTTGTGCAGAGTAGCCCCCCGGAGAGATTTTACATCCAGTTCAGAAGGATATCTGATTATCTGACTTTACTGAACATCATGTCAAACTTCTACATTTATAGTCTGACTGTTCCTAGTTTCAGGGCCTTTCTCTGGTTGAAGTTGTCAGAGCTTGCGTGTAAGGTGTTTTGTTCTGGCGGGAAGTTCAGTGTTTCAGTTCGGGGTATAGACTATCGGGGTTCTTCAACTGCGTCCAAAAATATGATGAAGAATTCATGGACAGATAATAATGGGGGTCTGCAGCTGAAACGCCAAAGTCGAGAGACGTAGATCCACTAGACTGTAATTAAATTTTTCAAATTTCTCTATTAAATTGTATATTGTTAATTGTATGTACTGTAATAGTGTAATGTAACCATGTTTGTTTGGACCTGCAGAAGTGCAGATTAGAAGCAATGTGTTTTATTATGGGATGCTGTTTCTAACTTTGTAAGCAACTGAGTGAAGATAACAAAAAATAGTATGAAATGGGTACAGGATCTTACTAACTGATATGGTTAATTTCAATACAGATTTGAATAAAATCTTGCCAATTGTTCGGAGTAATTCGCTCGTAGAGTTGTGAATTTGTTGTGCAGTTCTCTGTTCTATTAACTAGTTATGGTACTTTTAATTGTCAACAAATACCATGATTTAATTTGGTGTGCGAAATGTGGCGGTTTTCGGTAAAAATTCCCATATTTTCGTTCCCAAATCATTTAGGTCACCGGAATTATGTCGAACATAATTATGTCTCGTAAGGTAGTGATTTTTTTCAACTCCTTATTTTACAAAATGAAACCCAATGTTTGGAAAAATTAAATACAAAAATCTTCTCTGATCAGCTGTTTCATTTTGCAAACAATTTCTCCGGAGCTTTTGAAAGTTAGCCTCAACTTAACTTATAATCCTCCAGAGGGTATAGGAGACCGACGTCCGACAGTGTTTGTTATCTTCCACTAATCCCGAAATTTCGCCGCCGTGGCCAATAAAATAGTGACAGAGCTTGCTTACTTTTAATGGAACGTGTCCAAAATCATTTTTAAACCAATTCATGATCGAATACTAGTGTTCATTAATTGTTTGATGAATCATATTTATAACTTATATAACTTACTATATTGATAAGTTGATGGTAAATCGAGAAAGTCATAATTAAGGAAAATACGTGAAAAATAATTTGGGGAAAATAATGATGGTGACCTAGCCACCGACTTTCGTACCATTTAAATATGTCTCGTAACAAGGTACATCAAAAAACGTGAGAAACCTCGTTATTAGCCAAATTATTATACGATTAATCATCGTTACATCTGTCAAATAATATTTTAAAATTCAACAGATTCATAGTGATCAGCTATAAAAATGATGCAGCGGAAAGTTTTAGGGCATTAAAAATGGCGGGACACTGCATCATACGAGCTACTGGCCAGTGATTTAGTTTTATGGGAACCTGTGCAAGTGTGCACGGTAGAGCACAGTAAGGTGAACCAATACAACGCTATTTGTTTATGTTACTATGTTCCTGATCACACGTTGGTAACACATATATCTCCACTTTCAGACGGCGAGTATAGTTACTGGACTCCCTTACACCATTATCATGAGCTTCCTGTGTGTGTCACTGTGGAGAGGTCTTGCCATGGAGTTCGGAGATCTAAACCCCTATGGAGCTGACTTCAGTATCGGTATTATCGACCCCTTTGCTACGTGGGACCCAAAGCTGTGGTGTAATTTCGCTAAATACATCTTCATGACGTGAGTTTATTCATAATTATTGTGGGATTTGGGGGATATGTTTATATTACCAGGGCTCGCAGGCTTTTGTGTTCATAAACAAATTGAAAATTTGGCGGAATGACAGGCTGAGTGCCACCCAGTAACATTTATTACGTCCTGTGTTAATATGTTAAAAGCAGCGAACACATTTATAACTTCGTGTCTGGGTGTCTATTAATATGTTAAAAGCAGCGAACACATTTATAACTTCGTGTCTGGGTGTCAATTAACCAATAATCCTTCAGACCACTGGTCCTCTACAAGACAAACATGAGGCAGGGAGGTCAGAAGACGGGTTCAACAATGGTTGCTATTGCTGCCTCCGTTCTGTGGTAAGAAGCATTAGTATCTCTAATTCCTAAAACTTTTAATTTATAAGTTTTATCCACATTAAGATAGCATTATAAGTATCATTAGTTCCTAAAAGTTATAAGTTGTATCATTATTTTTTACGACATAAAAATGATTTTTACTTATTTAACATTAGTTGTAATTAGGTGCAATGGTTTCTGATCACATATCACCACCCAAACACTCCCTCAGGTTGAGCTGGATAACCCTACACATAGTAGAGATTGAAGTGCCCGGTTCCTACGCCATTGCCTGGATATTCTACATCGGGTTTGTGACCCTGGTGGCTAGCTTCAGATCCTCAGTTCGAGCTGAGTACGATATAAACGGGAACCCTCTAGAGGACTTCTTCGCAACCCTACTAGTCTACCCAAGTGTAGCTATACAGCTGGAGACTGTTCACATGAAACAGGGACTGACTACTATTGTGCCACAAGAGCCAGTTGCTAATGGCAACGGAGCCACAAACGGTCATCATGTCAACGGTCTGGTTATTGAGAACGGCAACTCTGCTGCTCATCAAGTTTAAATAGATCGTCTACTTTATAGTCAGGTCTCTAGAGACTGCTCGTGGTTCTTATTAAGATTGTAACCTAGCTATGAACACAATATTAACGCCGCGGTTAAAATCAAGCGACTGATCATACTTATTAAGTAAGTAACGTGAGAACTATATAAACAAAGAGTGGTTAAAATCTGATGCTCAATAATTCTCGAGTTAATCAAAGTAGCAGCACTTGAGTGAGTCAAGAAGCGAGAGTCCGAGACCTACGATTCCTATAACTCTGTCACCAGTCCTTCCTCCACCCCCTCTTACTCATGTCCTACCTGCTCCAACAAACTCCTCAATACCAGACCCTCTAAAGCTGTTTAGATATCAGACTTTGTTTAAGTTTACAGAAGTAATATGTTTAGTTAAGTAGTTTAAGTTAAGTAGTTAAGTTGTTTAGATAACTATGTTTACACACGAAAACGTGGCAAATTTTGCTTATGCTAACATAGGTGGCTTTTGTTGCAACAGGGGTCCGCTAAAGTGTGATGGAATAGTTTTTTAGAGTTACTTTTCAACATGACCAGTATAATTGTGACGTTTTCGCGAACTAAGATATGATTTAATTTTAGGTTGACTAGTTTACGTTGAACGGTTAACAAATCACATATTGAGGCAGTTTTTTGATTTCACTGAATTGATTTTTAGTTTTGCATAACTAAAAATAAATTTGAGTAATATTTGTTCACTATTTTAGACGTCAAATTCATTGATTTAAATGTCACAACCTATTTTAACTATCATCTAAATAAATGTTTGAATTATGTAAAATTGCAAATAATTGAGATATTACCAGATGACCTCAGGCTAATCATTCTTTCGCAACGATCGTTCTTTCTGTAGAGGGGATTCACTTTAAAAGTCCATCTGGTGGCGGTGCTAAAGCGCTAATGTTCTGTCATCTGAATGGTCATGAAATGTTATCTCCCATAGTATTGTCCAAATATAAGCTGAGAGCTCTTGTGGGCACACCGTTTCCTTGAAATAGATGCTTAAAACTATGATCTGTAGTATACTAGCAACCTCTTTGAATAGCATTAGAGCATTAGCACTATAAAAACTTGCTGTATGCGTACAAGTTATTCGATCATTAGCCTATGATCGTGGCAACTTTATAAACAGCTGTCCCACCACCAATGGCTCTCAGAGAGGGAAGACTCAAGATTGATATTGGTGGATTGCTACCAGACAGAAAATGGTCCACATTACCATTAGGCCTAGACACTGTCTAGGCCTAATGGTATTGTGGACCATTTTCTGTAGCATTAGCCATGAGAGTAAGAGCGAACTCTCTACAAGCTTCCAAGGTCACCACAACTAAGTTCAACCGTTTGCCTTTGCGTTCAATTCTCTATCTTTCCAAAGTTTCACACATGCACAATCGAGTCCGAAGTAGGCGTGTGTTGACAAGATGAAAATGAACTATTGGGTTTCCGAAGAGTTCACAATGGTCAGCACCAAGGACATCTTGACCATCTTGATCCTGACTATCTTCATTAGGGGGCCGGGGGCCGCTGCTGCTAACCAAAATGGTATGTTACTATGTTTGACTTTACCTTATTGGACGTTATTTGGCCGGACATTGTGTGAACGGACATGTAATTTTTTGTATCATGTGGTGACCCCCACTGTCGCTTCACTATACAGGGGGAGCCGCGCACTTCGTGCGCGGCGGGTCATACAACGTATGACAAGTAATTTTAAACAAACATTAAAATGAACGCTCAAAGGCATTCAAAACCATAAAAAGTTCACGATCACGTGATATGAACATATAAGGAAGTTGGTATAATTTTTCGTTAGGGTTACACTTACAGTTTTACTCATTTAACCAATTGAAACCTAAAAATGTAACCTAAAAACGTGGAAGCATCTTGTGTCAGTAGATCGAGTTTCAGACGGATACGCGGATCTGTCTGTACTATCTTTGCAATTGCACTCGATCTATAAGTCTGTACTGCAAATGTCCATATCACGTAAAATATTGACCTTATAAGGTAATCGTGACGAAAAGACGTGCCCGACGTGCCTGAGGAGTTGTCACGTATCCTTTGCACGCCCTCTAAACACACTACGTACCTCTGGTCATGACTGTCGTGCCTGTTGGCATTACATCTGACCTCACTATGACAACAGTCATGGCGACAACTGTCATGGTGACAAAAGTCATAGTATGGTTGGGCCCTTAAATTCTGAGAATAAATTATTGGCGACATTCTTGCAATTCCTTTACAATTTTGCTACAACACTGAACACCTCCTCCTTCAATTCATGATAACATAAATCGTTGCTCAGTAGTCACGAGTTAAACATACAATTAACAGGTTGGTTACCAGTGCAGCGAGATGTGGAAATAGAGTGGGATCTTGAGTCGACACCTTTAGAAATTAAAACTAATTGTGTGCTGGGGAGTGACGATATTGTGGTAGTGCACCTTAACTCTGCTGGGGGAGAGTATACAGGAGTAGTCTACCTCTGGTTCACCTCAACTCCACGATATTTACTCAACTGGTGCACAGCCTGGACTAACCTCCCTGTTGAACCCCCCTCTCCTACTGACAAGGTTTGGCGTATCACTCTAACCAGAACTGCAGGTGTCAGACTAGTGATACACTGTAACGAGGTGGAGGTGATCAACATCCTGTTCTCAGGCACAACGTGTATAGACAATAGTTGGAGCACGTTCTGGAGTAGAGACGTAGCAAAGATAAGTTTCCATTCCTCCGACACAGCATCTGATTACTACGGAACACAACCAGGTGACTAACAACAACAAGCATTATAGTTTAATATATAATAATATAACAAAGTAACAACAAATTTAATTTATAAATAAAACCACCTTGCTGATTCTCTCGTAAGCTCGTAATTACGTGTTTTCTGTCTAAATTTCAAGTGTGTAATTTAACATAATATAACACATATATAGGATACGGGATATAATAATAGGATAGTTATCATATTGTTATTTATCGATATCATAATTCAAAAGATTCTTTTTGTAGAATGTCTGTCTGTATGACCGCCCACGTGCAAATTAGGTCAAAAGCAAAAGGTTGCAAAGTAACCATGGTAACGAGGGTTGTTACACGCACGTGCACGTGCAAAGATTGTTAGATGTTAGAACGGCATTTTTATCAGTTTTGTTGATATTACGTTGTACTTGTGTTTAGTGCGAGCAACATTTTAATTGCAAATCGGCTGTATCTTCGGTTGTGTAGGATGTTTTTGACGCGATTTAAACTTATTAACAAAAAATACTATTAGCTTCATCCCTGTGACCACGGGTTTTCTAGTAACTTAATAAAGTGGTCATAATTTTATCAATTACTGTTCTCCGAATGAGATAAAATCACATTTTTTCTCTGAAGGCAGAGTTATAATCATATTGGCGATAGCGGATTGCAAAATAGCTAATTATAATTTAGAAATATTGCATATTTTGTAGTAGACATCATGGAGACAAGCCATTTTCAGCTACAAGGTTAAAACAATTAACAATTCAGAAACTGATGTTTTTACAAAATATTTTGAACATAGGCAGTATAAAGTTATTTTACCAAACAAACTCAAAATTGTTTTGGTTCAATATTTATTTTGCAGAGTTTACACCGTATGTGCATTGTGCAATGTGCATTGTGCTTTAACGGGCGATACTCGTAAAATATTTGTTCCAAAAATATTAGGACCGTCGACGAGTCGATCCAATTCGGCGCGCGTCCTGGTAGGTTATAAACCTACAAATTGTGCTTCATAGTTTGTTGATGAGGCGAATTTTTAGCGTTAGCCCTAATGACTGATAACAATTTGAATTAGTATTGGGCTTAGAGTTAGAATCAAGAAGGAAAATTCGTGGTACGAGAAGACATGAACTGCAAGAGTCTGGGTGGCAATAATTTCCTCGAAAAACCGTGGAATATGTGGATATTTAATTTTTCACATATTGTTTTAAATCTAATGCTATTGTAACATATCTGAACTGTACTTAATTACTTAAATAATAACGATTTTCTTATCTTCCACAACGATTTTCCAGTTGTAGCGTTATAATTCCAGAGCCGTGTGGGGAAGGAACATATCGGAATGATGCTATGACAAGCTGTGAGACATGTGACGCTGGATGGAAACCAAACTCTGACAAAACTGCCTGTGGTAAGATAATTTTAAATCTTATATTATTGTTGTGTTTTAAATTTGAATTAACTGTGCTACAGAATGGTAAACTGTATACAGTATTTGAGACTTGGACCCCCGAGCAAACGATATTATAATTGTGTTAGAGGTTGCTTGAAAGGGTTCGGGACTGCAAAACTAAATCGCGGAAGAGAACATAAGAAACCGTCAAAATAACCCTTATAATTGTATCACACAACCCAATTAATTACTATAATCAGTTCAACGTGATTTAATATGACATATCGACAGTGAGCTGTACGGGACTGAAGGCTGAGTGGAGAACTGTGATAAGAACATCAACACAGTTCCCAGTAGTCCCAGGAACCGTGGTGGAAGTGAATTGTGTTGAATCCAGAGCTCTCAATAAAGGGAGCAGCGAGGTGACCTGCACCTCAGGAACGGAATTTATTTTCGATTTTAATGAACCCGAGTGTATAAATACAGGTATTGTAGAAGCGAACATGCTAAATTACCATAGCATCACTACAAAAGGATAACTAAACTCTTCATACAACCAGGATAGTATCATCAGAACCGACGAAAGGGGGTAAAATAATGTCGTAAGGGGAAGAGTTGGTTATATTACTATAGAAAACTAATTTAATTTAATCTTACAGTGGATGGGCTATGACCAATAGCTCAGATGATACTGCGGCAAGTTTCCATAAATAAAATTTTACTATGAGCGCTCATTGTCGCCTACTGAGCGCTTATTTAGCGATTATAATCGGTTTAGGCTGTTTATAATCGCTTTTATAGCGATTATAATTGATTCAAATAAAAGCGCTCATAACCGATTATAATTGCTGTAAATATTTTTAAAAGCGATTACTTTATTTTTAGCGCTTATAATCGCTTTTTGGTCGTTTCTAATCGATTAAATCGCTTCGAAAGCGATTTTTCCAAGAATAAAGCGATTATAAGCGCTGGAAAAGCGGCTGCTCAGAAAAGCGCTTATAAGCGCCGTTTATAAGCGATAAATAAGCGATTATACGTTGACTGCAATATAGCCTTTTTGAAAGCGCCTACTGAGCGACTACAAAGCGCTTTTTGAAAACCACTTATAAGCGATTTTTATCGCCAATTGTCGC